TCTCGGCGCGCGTGTTTCTATTCACCGCGCCTGGCAACGGCGAATTCATATTCTGGGTCATGAGCAGTCGGCCATCGCTCCCTCCTTTGGTAATTCTTCGCGTCCCGGTTGCAGTTCATCGCTCAGCGGACTTTCCCATGCCTGCGTGGTAGGCTCGTAGCGAGACACTCGCGCAACTGTAGTCCCCATTGTAGAAGGCAGCCTCGCAGTGCTCCGCGAACCGGGCCAGGCCCTGTGGCGCGCTTGAACTTGCGCCCTGGATTTTGAGGCCTCGCAGCATCCGCGGCAGCGGCAGTGCCCGCCATTGCTCGCGAGTGAACTTCGCTCCGCTGCCGCGCAAATCCTCGGGGGACAGGCGCGGGACAGATGGCGATGTTTTCCCAGACCGATGCGCTCGGGCCCCCCAGACAGTTTCAACGATCAACCACACGAGCCAAACGGCGTCGATCGGGACTCACGCTCGGTGGCAATAATATTACCATTCTCCTGGCCCAGTCACCCTCGTTCTAATCGACAGGATGGGGGAGGTGCGATGCCCCCTTCGTCGCCCAGCCCCCCGTTCGCCTCTCTTTCGGCCCCCCTCTCGTTTTCGATTCCTTCTCGCCCCGTTTGGCGGCCCCGCCGGCGGCCGCCAGCGGCCCGCGTTCATACCTCACCAGCCCGCGAACGTTTGCGGGAACTGCGGAGTCGGGGGCATCGGAGATTCGCGGAAGAGGACGTCCCCGATGGCGGTTCAGGCGCGCGCGCCTTCTCAGCTCCCCATCATTGATCTTGGACGCCCGCTCGCGCGGGGTCTATGCATTGGTGCTGGGGGGGGGCAAGGGGAGGGAGGGAAGTGCGGTTTCGTTGCATCGCGTTGTCGACGTTACGTGCGCGCGTTTGTAATTTGGTGTGTTTTGCGCAGTTTTTCAAACATTGCTTGCAACTCGGAGCACTTACTTCTGGAAAAGGAACTGGGCCTACATGTCGGTCTGGCGGCTCTGTAGCCGCCGTCGCCGCGTCGTCGCCGCCCTTCTCCTGGGGCCGCGGGCAGCCTTGGCCGCTGCGTCGCTGCCGTCGCCGCCTCGTCGCCGCCCGTCGCCTGGGCTTGCGGGCCGCTCTGGCCACCATGTCGCCGCCCCGCGCCGCCTCGTCGCCGCCCGTCGCTTGGGCCTGCGGGCCGCTGTGGCCGCCGCGTCGCCCCCTCGTCGCCGCCCGTCGCCTCGTCGCCGCCCGCTTCGCACTGCTGCGCATTGTTTTAGTTGTTTTCGAATGGTTTGCATGGTGCAATGCGCAGATGAGCATCCCCCATCGCTCACCCTACAAATGAGTTCGTTCAATCCCGGCGAGCAGAGAGCGTCGTCGACCCCCCTTCGCCCGCCAACAAGTGACATTATGCGCGCGCATTCGTTTGTCACAGAGAACCCCGCCCACTGGGGGCAGTCTACGCGCGCGCGGCGTCGCGCGCGTTCCCCCGCGCATGAAATAAATTCCGCGATGAGTTCAAGATAGGGGTTCTCGGAACAAGGGAAACTCAATGGTTTCGTGCCATGATTTGTCAAGAGAGAGATCCGCGCGCTCTTGTTCGCGAATGCCCATTGGTTTTCAACGCTTTCATCGCGCCCGGCTCAGCGCCCCCCCCCCGCGCGCGCTCGTCGACGTCGTTCGAATGCCCTCGCGCGCTCGCAAGGGGGGAGGGCGCGACCCCTGTCAACCTGCTGGCCGCTCGCGCCACTCGGGCGCGCGCGCGCGTCGAAATCCTCGCGACACCTTCGCCGACGCGCGGGAGCCATTAACCGAGCACGGGTGATAATAATGCATCACCCCTTTCCCCTTTGTATTTTCCCGCCCAATAGGATTCAATTGTGGAGAGGGGCGCGGGGGCCGAACTTTATAATCCACGGGGGAAGTTGCGAATCGAAGTTGCTATCAACAAGAGCTTCAAAAATGCGCCGCCTTCTCTTTCTTCCTTCCGCCCGCCCCCCCCAGGGCCCGAACTTTTTTATCCCCGGGTTTTCTTATCCCCCGCGGGGCCCCGCCATGGACCCCCTCCCTACGCGCGAGGTTGAAAACGATTAACAAAAATCTGTTTTTACAAATGAAGAACATGAGGCCTCTTTTTTCGGGGGGGGGGGGAAATTGACTCTGGGGCCATCATTTTCTCTCTTCCGTCTCCCACCATTGCTCTTCCTCTGTTCCGCTCGTCTTCTTATTAGTTATTAGTAATATCGCAGTCAACCCGCGTGGTAAGGATGAGCAAACTTGTTGCCCTTGCATTCTTGCCACTTCGGCCCATCTCTGGGTCTTGCAAGGACCTTGCATATCTACCGCGCACCCTTATTACGCGAGTCGACATTTTTCGAGATCTCTCGAGTCAACCGTGCGCCGAGCGCCTGCTGGCAAGTTATAGCCTCGAGATCTCTCGAGTCAGCCTTGCGCCGAGCGCCCGCCGGCAAGTTGAATAGCCACGAGCCTCGAGATCTCTCGAGTCAGCCTTGTGCCGAGCGCCCAGGATCACCATCATCATCGCCATCGTCACCATCATCATAATTTACCTTCCCAGGGAAACTATTGTATTATCCCCGCCAGAACCCCGAACTGTATTATCCCCGGGGTATTATCGCCCGCGCTGGGTTATCGCCATCGGCGTGATCAGCGTCGGCGACGCGACGTCGTTGGCCTCGCCGTCGCCATCGCCACCATCGCCGCCGGCATCGCATCGTTCTCGCCGCCGTCGACGTCGCCATGATACCGCGCCCGCCCGAGTCACCGACTCACGCTGACATGCCAGCGGGGGGCGCGCGGCGGTGGGAAGTCCCCAGTGGTCAGCGCCACTGCCGCGGCGCCTGTCGCGCCGGACTGCCCGGCCGCTGCGCGCGCGAGCCAGCCAGCCAGGTTAGAGCAGTCGTCGCAATCGCCGCAGCGTGAGGTTAGCGAGGCAAATTTCGGGCGGGCGGGTGGGATGATTGCGCGAGCAGTGGAGCCGACGGCTGCGATCTCCACAGTGGATTCTCCTTTCCACAAAGAAATATTTCAGAAACCTCGGGTATGGCAAGGACGTCGCAGTCGATTGCCCAACACACATGTAGACAGACTTGGTCTCGCAACGCGGACTTGCATACACAACTTGCGCGTTTTTGCGAACTCTTAAGAAAACGTCGAAATCGTTCGAGCGCCCTTGCGCGCGCGCGCCGTCGCGAGAATTCTTGCAAGAAATCGGGGCGGAGTGCGCGCGTGCGCGTCGTCGCGCGCGCATGCTGAAACCCGTGAAAGAATCGGCTTCGCACGGCGATTTCAAAACCGGGCGCCCAACAAACATACAAACAACACGTGGCGTTGCAGCGGCAGTTTTCAAACCAGCGTGCGCTCGCGCTCTTGTGAATTCTCAAGAAAACCGTAGGTTCTGACCATTGTTATGGAATTTGCCAAACGGGCCTCTGGCGCCGCATGCCGACATCATTCGCACGCCTTGCGCGCGTTCTGGAGCGCACGATCCGTGTCAAAGTATAATGCGGGCCACTCGCGCGTCGGCCGCGCGCGCATGTCGAGCCTTTTTTCCGACATGTTCATCACCGACGCGAGGACGCCGTCATCGTCGTCGGCGTGATCAGCATCGGCGCCCGCTTTGGCGGCGCCGTCGTCGTTGTACAAATCGCCACCAGCAACGCTACTATCATCATCGTGTCTACCATTGTCGACGTTGCCATGCTACCGCGCCCGCCCAACTCGCCGTCTCGCATTGAAGTGCCCGCTGCGATGTGCCCAGCGGTCAGCGCCACCGCGGCCGAGTCGGTCGCGCCAAACTAGCCGGCCGCTGCGCGCCGATGTTTGGGTTGGTGCGGCCGCAGAGATGCACCAGCCAACGCCAAGCACGCATCGCAATCGCAACCACATGGGTCTTGCAATGTTCGCAAGAGCATGGTGTGTGTCGGCTCGCTTGCGAAAACCAAAGTCCACCACGTAGATGGCACCACCTGGTACTATTACCACACATTGTTTGGGGCCCGTGCTGGCCGTCATTTTTATCATAGTCACGGTGTTGCGCTGGATGCGGCCAGGGATGCGAAGCCTGGCAGCGCGGTGCGCTCGCGGTCGCGCCTCGCGGGGCCCCGCGCGCGCCCCGATGCGCGGGGCCATTCCGAAGCGGGCAGCGCAAGCGCACGTCGGTCGGGGCCGCGCAGGCCTTGGATCCAGGCGCGCGGAAGAGCGACGGGGCCCGCTTTCATGCTGAACCAACTCGCGCCGCTGCAAAAGCCAACGGCGCAAGTTCCATATTTCGGGGCGAGCGGCACGCGGGAACATCCGGGCCGAAGACGCGCAAACATGGATTCAAGCGCGTTGGGTAGCCCCGGGCGCTGCCATGCAGAGGCAGCGCGCGCCGTCGCCAAGTTTGGCGGCACTGGCTTCATGCTGCGGGGGTGCCCCCCCCTTAATCCATCCGCCATTCATGGAGGCGCGTGCCCGACCGGGGGCGTCCTCGAGAAGTCGCGGGAGGGCCGCGCACGGGGCCGCTTCCAGCCGTCAGAAACGTACCCCGACAGTTTTTCAGCTGGAAAGCGTGGGATGGCAGACGCAGACATGCTCGCGTCGCGAAAGAATCGGGACGGAAGGTATTTTGGGCCGTTTTCGGCTTCCGGGGGCCCTCGCCGGGCCACGGTGCTGTCAAACAGAGAAGCGATCCAGGAGGGCGGATTGGCGGGCCTTGGGAAAAGGGTCGAGACTTTTGGGGACCGCGCGTGGAACAAACATCGGGACTATGCACGTTTGGGTGCAGTGGGGACCCATGCCGAGAGACACCCTGCGTGCCTTCAGGGTGCTCTGGGTTCCTTGGGTTTCGATGGTTTGGAAAGCGTGACGTGCCCACACCCCCCCAAAAAAAATAGACGCCCTGGCGCCTCGGGGCTTGGCTTGTGGAAGGTTCCTTGTGGTCGAGCCCCAAGTATCGTAAGGGCGGCAACGGGGTCCACAAGAGGAGTGCGAGCGCCATTGTGCGGCGCGTTGGCCGCGCCGACCGCGCCGAGGGCACCGAGGACAAGCTCTCCATGAGCCTCGAGGACATGATCAAGTCCGAGGCCGCGCCCTGGGTGGGGAGCCAGGGGGGCGCACGGCGTGGGGAGCGGCGGGGGCTGCCCGGGACGGCAGGCCCTGATCTGTTGCTCCTCGCTGCTCCTTGCTCCTCCTCGTCGCCCTCCTCCAAGCCCTCCTCCTCCTCGTCCTCCTCCTCCTCTCACAAGCTTGAAACATATCCAACCGCTATATTTGGCATCACCTTACCCCGGTGCGATTCTTTCAGTTTCTGAGGGCACATCCTTACGATTGCCATCGCCTTTGGCCTGTCGATCTCAGAGATGAGGATGGGCTCGAGGCTGGATCTCCTCCTTCGCCTTGCTCTCTGTCCTCTCGACTTGTGATCTTGAGCCGCCAGGCCTGCTGAGCTTTCATGGGGCCAGCAGGTCGCCCCTCATCGCTGGTGTATCGGCGAAGCGGCGCGAGACTCCGATGCTCGAGTTTATCCAGCCGCCTGCGGCAAGCTCTGGCAGGAGCCCTCCCGCCTCCCCTCTGGTGGAGGAATTGGGCAATACAGTGAGGGGGAGAGGAGGAGGAGGAGGAGGAGGCGGAGGCGGAGGAGGAGGAGGCAGAGGAGGAGGAGGAGGAGGAGGAGGAGGAGGAGGAGGAGGAGGAGGGGGAGGAGGAGGAGGAGGAGGAGGGGGGGGGAGGAGCGGGGGGGGAGGGGGGGAGGGGGTCACATTTGAGGGTTCCAGTGGCGTCTGGGCAAAAGGCCGCCCTTTGATGGCTGGGGTCCAGGGGGGGTCTACAATACCCATGCTGCTACCCTTCCCTCGTTTTCCCCTCTCTGGGCCTCCTTGGCGGCCTTCGCCGCCACCGCTGAATTCAACTTGAAGTTTTGATCAGAACGCACCTCGGGAGACGTCTGGGGAGCAGCGGTAATGATACCTTGTGGTTTCCCCATGTGCATCGCTGCCAGAGAAGGCTGCCGCTTGTCGTGCCCCCCCCCGTCTGGCCCCGCCTGTCAGAGGAGGAAGACGTACCCATACCGCTACCCTTCTCCGTTTTCGTCGTTTTGGTCCTCCTGGGAGGCCCTCGTCGCCACCGCTGGATTCGCTTCGAAATTCTGGTCAGAACGCACCCTGGAAGAGGTCCAGGGAGTAGTGGTATCGGTACCCGGTGTTTTCCCCTATCCCCTCCCACCTTTCCACCCCCGCCCCCGGACGAACGATCCGTTCCCGAGCGTTCCAGAACGCTCTCAGAGCGTTCGGGAACGCTTTGAAACGGCCGCGGCGCATGATGCATCTTCCAGGCCCACCGATTCTCGGAGATTTCCATATCGGTGCGATTGTGTCTCGATTATGCCTTCGCCTTAGGTTTCCCCATCCCCTCCCTTCACGACGGGGTGTGTTTGCAAGGCCCAGCCGTGCTAGACGGCAGATTTGCTCCTGCTCCATACGGATGTGTGGGAGTTTGCGGCCCAGCTCTCGGATCCGCGCGAAGGAAGGAGGACGGGGAGAGGGGTGGAGGGAAGACGATCAGCAGTCCCAGACATGCCCAGGTGAGAGGGGGAGGCGGGGTTCGATTGGGCCGGGAGGGGCGGCTCTCCTTTGCCGTGGGGGGGGGGGGTGGAGGCATGGGGGAGGGGATGAGGGCGGGAGGCGGGGAGGGTGCGGGGAAGAGAAGAAGAGGGGGGCGGCGGAGGAAGGTGGGATTCTAGAAGGCTTCTGGCCTGAGAGCAGGACAGGGATAGTTCAGTACCGTATCTGCCCTTGCAGGTCAGTCCTCAGGCGTGCGATCAGATTGCCGCGCTTTCAGCGCTTCTCGCTTCTTGCTGCAACGGGCGATCGGCCCGAGGAAGCATCGTGGTATAATTAGGCGTGCGAGACGCTCACGTTCGTGGGCGAGCTGGCGAGGTTGGGCCGGGCATCAGGATCACTGGATGCACATCATTCGGTATCATCCATGAGCTGGCGGAGAGTTGGTTCTACAGATGCAGGGCCGAGGCCCCCAAGTTATTCGCAGTGGCAGTTAGCAAACAGACCTGCTGCGCCGTGGCGAACGCAGCAGGCGGGCAGAGGCAAAGGATATACAAGGTAAAGGCAAGTCAGTGCCTTGCTTGGCCACACCATGACGACTGGGAGCAAGAGTCGGTGCGCAACCCGCTGGTAAGTCCCAGAAGCCGAAGCAGCCCCCCTGGAAGTGCGCCCACTGCAAATCCGTGAATAACGGAGCATATCTGTATTCATGAAAGCATTTTGGAGCAGCCAAATCTGAGCTGGCATCATCGGCTTTGGCCATCCTGAATGAGCGCAGGAGTTGGTTTACTCACGCCCCTCCCTGCCCTGCCTCAGCCTCATCTGCAGATATTTACCGAAGTTGTGTTGGCTTCGGTCGCAGGAGAAGGCCACTCCACCTGCCGCACGCGCGGCCTTCCGGCCGGCCAGGCCGCCCCCCCTTCTGGTCTCAGCCATAGCTGAAAGCTTGACGGTACAACACCATGTTAAGCCATTGCTGCAAGGAGTCCGTCTCCCATACATCGCTTGGGTATGAGTCTGAAGCTCGTGCAAGAAGAAGATCACCATGAGTAACAACCACACACAGTGCCGTTTCATCGGGCTGCGAAGATCCCCTTCCTGACGGGGAGCTGACACAACATTTGTTATCAGCCGAAAGTTTTGTCGTCGACGAAAGCGATGCCACCAGATGGGGGAGTGCAATTATGTTTCTCCCTTCAGTATATGGATGATGTACGAAAGATAGAAGGTAAATGGTACGGCTTAAGTATGCGCGTTCTTGGGGCGGCCTCCGCCGACGATGTCGAAGGGCAAAGTCAATGCCTTCATCAAAAGATCAACTGGCATATCTTCTATGGTGGCGAGCGTCGCCTGGGCACCCCGAAGGCCGCGTGCGACGAGGGGCTCGCCTGGCGCGAGCGCGGCGAGAGAGCTACCAATCGCTGGGCAACCGGACGTTCCCATCGACCTCTCGGACGGCGAGCAGGACGTGGAAACTATGTCGTCAGTGGAGAATGCCCCCCGCAAGTCGACGCCGAGACCGATTGCCTATGGTGCTGTCCGCCGCCGCGGGGAGGGGGAGCTGAGGCCTATGGCCTCAGTTCTTCTGCCCCGCTGGCCGACCACCCGCTTCCCGCGCAGGTGCCCCTCGCCGACGGCGAGGGGGATGCGATTCCTTCCGACGACTTGCTAGAACGGGGTCTTGAGGATATCATGGGGAACAAGTCTGCGGGCAGCCCGGTCAGGGCCACCTGCGAGCAGAGGCGCGAGACGGTCAGCCTTTCAGCAACGTCACCGCTCATCGCGTGGAAGAGGTCCGACGGCATTCCCGAGGGCGGGCCCGCGCGCGCGCCGGGGCGCAGGGCTCGGTAGTTACGCGCCCGGGTCCTCCCCGCGCCCCGTTCAGCCTGGCCTTCGACCTTCGAGCGCAATGCCTGGGGCGCCCGACCCGCGGACCCGCCCTCCTTGTAAGAGTTCGGAAAAAGGGGTGGCCGAGTGCCCCGGGGCCGCGTTCGGAGGCGTCCGACTTGTCAAGTCCATCCGGTTGGTCGAGTGCGTTCAGCATGCGCATCGACGCGAAGTGCGTTCACTTTGGGCCGCAATGCGTCGCCATTCCTGAGACTCGGTGTCCTGGCGTGCTAGGCCAGTGTAAGGAGCCGGTCAATCATGGGCGCTCGAACCTTCGCGGCCTCTGCAATCTGGGCTCCCCACGCCCGCCGCGCCGCGCCCCTGCGTCGCATGGCTGCGCAGGTTTGCGCGCGAACGAGCGGCGCGAGGCCGCGGAAAAGAAGAGGATCGATACCACAGAAGCCAGAGAAAGAGGCGCAGTCGAGATGCACGAGCAATTTCGGCACTCGGAGATACAGCAAGAGGCCGTCGCTGTTCTTCAGCTGGAGTGCAACCGCGAAGCCATGATGCCATGATGAACTGTAGCTTCTTGAAGAGCGCCATCAGGCGGCGGCAGTCGCGCCGGCCTTGGCGCAAACTACGGAGATGCGGGGGCAATCCAACGGGCTGGGGGCAACCGCTGCATCCGGGCGCCACGCGCAACTCCAGGGGCAACATCTTGCGGAGAAGCACCTTGCAGAAGAAGCCGCAGGCATTTGGAGACCTGCGCCAGAGGCCTCACCCTTTCCACGTGCCATTGCAGAACTGGACAAGCACGCCAGCCTGCGAGGGCACGACGAGCAGGCCAGTTTCCCGCCAGTTGCGTCGGCAGCAGTCGTCAGGGGAGCAGCGGGCAAGTTCAAAAGGAGAGCTGGGCTTGGCTCAGACTCGACTCATCAGCGGTACGTAGACTTGGCATGTGCTGACGCGCTCACTGTCTTGGGGTGCCCCTCGCATTGGCTGAGCGTCTCGGGCACCCACCATCGCAGTTGGCGTTGAACCTCATTGCGTTGCTACCTCGTCCAGATGCAGGTTTCAGGCCGCGCGGGTCGCGGCCATCCAGCCGGAGCGGGCGCCGCTATTGCAGCTCAGGGGGCGTTTTGAATTTCATCTCTGGCCGAAGGCGTCAGCGCGCCCAAGGGCCCGCAGGAGCGGCGGCGCGCGTGCTTGACGGGCTGGGCTGGGCCACCTATTTCTTGGATTCTTTGGGAACGGATCAGGGGGTTCTTATTCCGCCTTGTTACCATGGAAAACTGACCATCACATGCACCACCAAGCAAATTACCCAGCGCGACCTCATCAGGGGCACAGGAAGACCCCGAGGCAAAGTCGAAGGTCTTTGTGGCGCGCCCTTCTTGGAGCCTCTTGTGGCATTTCGTCGAGAAAAGAGAGCGCACGGCCGCGAAGACTCAGCTGGTTGGTCCGCGACAGCAGTTTCTGGGGGCTTTGCCGCGCATCGCCAGTTATGTGCAAACAGGAGTCATTGATGGGAGTTTCCAGTGGTGTCGTCGCGCCCCTGGCGCGAGATCCAACAGCCACTTTGAATGCGATGCGCGCCAGTGATTCTTGAGTAGCCTGGACCTGGGCGAAAACCGTGAGAAAGAAGGTCGAGCGAGCGAGTGCAATCCAGGTTGCACAAGATGTCTACACGTAAGTTCGGAGTGGGGTTCGCCCAATCCACATCTCGGCGCCGACCCGAAGTGGTCGCGTTTCCCGCCCAGCGGGGGACTGGACGCAGGCTTTGCGTGCATCGACGGCTCGGGCCTCGATCGACAGCGCAGCGCGTTTGCGAGAGCAGGGCGCGCAGTTGTGGGGCTGGATATGGGAAGACATCTCATATGGGCCGCCTATGACCGCAACGGCAATTGCCAATTATTGTAAGATTGACTGCATGGAATGCGGAACCCACTCAGGACCTGGCGAGCACGTGTTTGTTTTCTGAATTGTGGCACGACGCTTTTCGGCTAGGTGTGGATATCGGTATTCAGAGCGCCAATCTCGCCAAAGTGAAGTCGCACCTCAGCCGCGCGGCGGCGGTATATGCAGGCGTGGCGCATTGGGCCTGGCTCGGCAATCGCAAAGCTGACCGCCTAGCGAAGGAGGATGCACGAGCGCGGGCCACAAATTGTGACCATATTGCGAGTGATGTCGAACATTCGGCGATCGTGATCTCGGGGGCTCTCGACCGCTTAGCCCAGCTGAATTTGCCAGGTGTCTCGAAACATCGCGCACCTGTTCGTGCAAAACCCGCCCTCGTTGAACTCATTTCTGATCCGCTCTTCCACCAGTTCGCTTGAGCACGCAACTGACTCATGTGTTGCAGGTGTTGGGACAGAGGGTTTTCCCGAACAGCTATTTGTTTGGTTCCTTGTTCTGGCATCCCCACGGCCGCCCGTGCCTCCCACCCTTATCATTCCTTGTGGGTGGGGGGTGGGGAAGTGGCACGGTGTTCTCGACGCGGTGCTTTCGTCGGTGCGCGTCCCGCTTCTTGACGGAATGTTGCGCCAGAGGCCCGCGTGACAAGGATGCTGGGAACAGCCTGGCTTTGCTCAAGCAAGGGATTGACCCGTCCAGCAAGAAACATTTCTGTCAGAGTTTCCCTGTGCCGCCCCCGAGGCCGCCGAGCCCGCAGGAGCTGTAAACTCGTTTTTTTTGTTTGTTTTTCTTTGTCGCGGGAGTGCCATCACTGTCTGGCACGGGTGGCGACCCTCTCCGAGCGCGGAAGGACACCGAAGGGGGGAATTTAGGCCTCCTAGCTGGGGCCCGAGAGATGGGGTCGGAGGACCTCGCCGCATCGCCGGTGCATCGCCGATACGGTCCGATGTGGAGCTTGATTTTCTCCACGACGGCGTCGCCGATACACAGATTGCGTCGGCGATGCGGCGCGATCCTCCGACCCCATCTATACGAATCTCATTTGCGACGTCTCGAGAGATGCGGAATTCTTGCATTTTGTTCACGACGCGGCCCCCAGAAGTCCCGACCCTTTCCCCGGAGTTGGCTTTTCACCCCGAATCGTTTCGTTGACGGTCCTGGGTCCCGGCCAGGGTCCCCAGAAACCGAAAGCGGGCAACAGCTTTCCGTCCTGATTTTTTTTCACGGCGCGACGATGTCTGGGCCTGCCACATGTTCTGCCACATGCCAGGGCCGGTGCTTCCTCCCGACTCGTTCTCTGCTGGTCCTGGGGCCCGGCGAGGGCTCTAAAACGACGCGAAAATCGGGACAAAATCGGATCGGGATAACTTGAAATCTCTGAGAATCGGCGGGTTTGGAGGATGTATTGGGCGCCGCGGCCGCTCCAGAGCGTTCCGGAACGCTCTGAGAGCGCTCACGAACGCTCTGGAGCGATTTATCCCGATCCTAGCTCTGTTTCAGGCTCCCAGAAACTGAAAACGGGCAAACAAGAACCCGTCCAGATGTTTTCGCGGTGCGGGCAGGTCTGGGCAGCGGGCGGGAGGGAGGCGGGGGCAGAGCGGACGATCGGAGCGGCGGAGGCATTGGGAGGGCGGCGCGGCGGGGGCAGGCGCGGAAGGGCGCCCCGGGCGCACCCCTTCGGGAGCCCTGCGCCGCCGCAGCCCGTGTCGCCCGCAGGTGAAGAAGCCGGGGAAGAAGCCCGACAAGGCGGGCTCCTGTCGAGCTCCCTCCTTCTCCTCCTCCTCCTCCTCCTCCTCCTCCTCCTCCTCCTCCTCCTCCTCGTCTGGCCCCGCCTGGCAGCGGAGGGGAATGCACCCATGCCGCTGCCCTTCCCCCGTTTTCGCCTTTTTATGGCCTCCTGGGAGGCCCTCGTCGCCACCGTTGGATTTGTTGTGAAATGCTGGCGCCCCGGAATTCCTGGCGAGTAGCAGTATCAGTATCAGTACCTTGTGGTCGAATCTTCGGGGAGGGCACACACTTGGCAGACCCAGATTTGGTCGCGTCGTTGAACATCAGGACGGAAGATTTTTGACTGTCTTCGGCTTCTGGGAACCCTCGCCAGGCCCCGGGACCAGCAGAAAACGATTCAGAAGGAAGAGCCGACCCTGACATTTGGCAGGGAGGAGGAGGAGGAGGAGGAGGAGGAGGAGGAGGAGGAGGAGGAGGAGAACATTTGGCAGGCCCAGACATCGTCGCGTCGTGAAGAAAGCCAGGACGGAAAAAGCTTTTGGCCGTTGCCGGTTTCCGGGGGCCCTCGCCGGGCTCCGGGGCCGTCCACGAGGCGATGCGCGGTGAACAACCCGCCTTGGGGAAAGGGTCGGGACTTTCGGGTGCCGCGTCGCGAGAAAAAAACAGGACGTCGCACGTGTGTGTGGCCCCCATGCAGCCCTGCCCTGGGGCTTGCATCGATGAAGAAGCACTCGGGGGGGCCCCAAACTCCAGTCCGGCCGGAAGGGGTCGGGGTACATGGGTCGGGGGATCGCGCCGCGTCACCGATGCATCGGCGATGCGGCTCGATGTGGAACTTGATTTTCTCCACACCGACGATGCCCATGTATCGCCGATGCATCGGTGATGCGACGCGATCCTCCGACACCATCTACTCCGATCCCGTCTGGGAGGTCTGTACAAACGGTGTGATGACCACACCGCGTGGTGAGTCGGTGGGGCTTCGGGGTCACCGCGCAATTTGGGGGCACGGGTCGTTCTCCGACGACGTCTCGGCCGACCGGGGCCTCCGAGGTCCTCAAGACCGTGTGGTGACGGACCACGCGGTGACGTCGTTGGGGATTCCAGGATATTACGAGGTCACCACGCGGTCGCTCACCACACGGTCTTCGGGCCCGGGGCCCAGAAAAACACTTGCATGAGCAAAATTTGTGGGATCGTCCCCCGTCTTGACCGATTCTCTCGGAGCCCATCTACCGCAGGCCCCCCAGCCGCTTCAAGGTCTTATCTCCTGGACCTCAGCTCAAGATGCACTAAGGCTCAGTGCATCTTGAGTTGAGGCCTCCAAGGCGTGCTGAAGCCCATCAGGCCATGTTGGCATCCTGAAGGAGTCGGAGGCTGGATTTGGAAGCTGTGAAGGGCCCAGGATGTACGTTCAGGAGCTCGTACCCACCCCCTACCCCTGGGGCAGAATGCCGGGAGGGAGCACGCCCGAATCGGGATTCGTGGGCTCCCGGGGAGGGGGCCGTGGGGCAGGGATCAGGGCTCAAGAGACGGGGGTCAATGCAAACGGGGGTCAATCAGAGAGCCGGATCTTGAATGATTCTGCAGAGCCAGGGGCGCGTTGACCTGGGCTTGGGTGCAGGATATTGCAGGATCTTGCAGGATCCTGCAACACCTGACTGACCCGGGTCTGGATTGACCCAGGTCAGTAGATCCCCGATGGGAGCCCGCCAGCCATTTCTTGCGTCTTCGTGAACCCGAGCAAGCGCGGTTTGCCGATTCAATTTTAGGGGCTCTCACGGGCCTGAGGACATTCCGTTGAAGATTTCACATTCCACGTCCCCTTCCGTGCCTCCTCCTCCTTGTCCTCCCCCTCCTCCGCCCTCTCCTGCTCTTCTCCTCATCCTCCGCCCGTAGCCATTCTGGCTCAAGTCCGTAACGGTGGCGCTGGGACTAAAGTTTTCGTGGTGCGGGAGCGAAACAGCCCCCACAGTCTTCGCGGTGGCAACACCACCGATTCATTTTCGCTATTTTATCGCGGTTTCTGGCCGCATCCCTTTCCGCGCAGTACGACGCAGTCATGTTTTCTTCTCATTGTGGCCAGCCTGGCTTGCGGGATGGAAAGGGAGACCCGAGGCAGTGGCACCATGTGGGAGGCAGCGCGGGGGCGCGGCGACCGCGCCGGCGCCGTCTTTTCGGCCCTTCGTCGAGCGGCCCATCGGCCCCGCGGCGTTCGGCAGGAAGGGGGCGCCGCGCGGACGACGCGATCGCATCTTTTGGCAGCGAGGCAGGGCGACATCGAAGCGTGGGCGACGCTGCGCTCACCTGCCCTGGCTGCAGGGCAGGCGGGGGGCGCCGCGTGGACGGGGGCATCGCGGTCTATGCCGCGGGCCTCCTGGGCTCCGCCGCGGGGGCCCTCGGCGTGGGACTGCAGCGCTCTGAGGAGCGCGCCTCTCCCGTCGTCGCCCTTCTCGGGGGGCGCGGCCCCTCCTGCCGGGGACAGACCTGCTCGGGGTGCCGAGGTGGACCATGGCAGCCTCGGAGGCACCCTTCCTGGGCCGCGGCTTCGTCGGCGGCTGGCGCCCGCCCATCGACGCTGGCGTCTGGGTGGAGTCGGAGCGCATGTTCGAGCGCAAATCCAGGGGATGGCCCCCCTGGTCCAGTCGCGCCTCTGCGGGCCCCTCGTCTTGCCCCCATCCTTCGGTCCCCTTACAGGGGCAACCCCCGTGTGGAGATGGGCTCAGGGGCGGATGCATCGACCGCCAATCATCCACTCGTCGCAGACAGGGGGCCCAGTAGCCACGCCGAGTGCAGCTCGACGTTCCCCCCCCGCTGAGCCTCCTGAAGAAGGAGAAACTTCAGAAACAATCTCTTGGAGCTCCGCGCGGATTTCTCGGATCAGCGCTGGGCCCCCCTTGCCAGGGGATGTTGCTCCAGAGCCGACCCAAGAAATCCGCGCGGAGCTCCAACATTTCTGTTCATGCCGTTTTTTGGTTCCTCGGTTCGCCTGCCGCACCAGTTCCCCGCAGCCAGCCCCCCCCCTCTCCCGAACATGCGAAGCCCTGACTTCTTCAATGCGCGGTTCCCGGAAATCCCGACCCTTGCCCCAGGGCCGGTTTTCTCATCCCGAGACGTTTTTGGGGACGGGTCCAGGGCCCGGCGAGGGTCCCCAGAAGCAAGGGCGCCTTCGACTGCGCGAGATTCTTCGCGCTTCGCGCTTCGGTTCCAATTCCTCATCCTTCTGTCCTCTCCTGGTGGGCGGCGCGAGAGGACGAGTTTTTCATCCTGAGTCATTTCCTAACAGCCCTGGGGCCCGTGGAGGGCAATAGGAAGCCAGAAATGGCGAAACACCTCAGAACCCGTCTCCCTCGGGACCCGTTTCCCCCGTGGCGGCCGACCCTTGCGCCCGCCCTGGTACTTTTCCACCACGCGCGCATGTGTTGGGCACCGCTGCGTACCTTTTCCTGTGCATGCTCTTCGGCACCGCCTGTACTCCGCACCCCCCGGCCGCCTGAGGCCTCGCCCGCCCGCGCCCTGTCTCCCCAATTAGTGCTCCGCGCGCCCCGCCTATCTTTTAACCGGAAGAGGCCCGCTCTCGACCCGCCGACCAAAAATTGACTAGACGTAAGAGTGACCCTTCGCCGGAGTGACCTTTGGTGCGCGCTCACTGTGGTCCCCCGATCGCCGCGCTCGTTGCGATCTTAGCGTCTTGCGCGCTTGCGTTTGGCCTCCTCGCGCCCCCCAAACAGTCGCGCACCAAAGGTCACTCTTACCCAGGGTCACTCTTACGTGCAGCCGAAAAAAAAAGCATGTTTGGGCACCTGCCGCCGCAGGAGAAGGCGAACGGTGCGGCGGGGGCCGGCGGTCCGCGCCTCAGGCGGCCCCTCGCCCCCCTCCCCTCCTCCCGTGCGGCCGCGCGCGGCGGCGCGCGGCCGGCTCGCCGGGAGCGCTTTCCCAGAGCAGGGCCCCCCCGGGGAGTGCCTCGCGGGCGAGCTCGCGTCGTGAGCATGTCTCGGAGGTCGACAGGCCTCCTACCATTATGTCGGGCCTGTCCCCCTACAGGGGGAGCTTCGACGAAATATTATAGATACTCAAACAAATATTCTAGAAAGGTCAAAAAATACCAGAAAAATAGCCCCCCGACTATTTTTTGATTATGTTTTGGTTTTTTTGTGGGCATTTTTTATTTTTCGTCGAACATCCCCCTGTAGGGGGACAGGCCCGACTGAATCCTACCCTGACACGTCGATTAAGGAATTGGCCGTTTTCGGTTCGCGAGAGGGCGTCTCGCGGCCGTCATTGTTGCGGGTCCAGATCCGTCGGTTTCGGTCCCAGGCCGTTTTCACTGAGGGGAGGTTTACTAAAGGGAGTTTAGTCCACTGCCGAATGTCAAATGGCAGGACGGGAGGTTTTGGGCCGTGCTCGGCTTCCCAGGGGGGGGGAGACCTCGCCAGGCCCTGGGGGCGTGAGCAACAACGACTCGGGACGAGAAGGCTGCCCTGGGGAGGGTCGGGACTTCTGGGAGCTTCTCACCAGAGCGAGATGCCCCGTGAGCACCTTGCAGGGCGCATTTCGACTCCTCCGGTTCGAGCTGGCTCGACTTCGGTGGTCTCCGATCCCGATTCGACTTCGACTCCGGATCCCGGCTCCTCAACGGAGGCTTGCCAGCCCTGCCGATCTCCGGCTTGTCAGTTCCTCCCCCCTCGGCTGCCGATTTCCGCCGGTCAGATTCGTTGCGATTGCCGATCCGCTTCATCGATTCGACTCATTGGCTCCCTCGAGGGCGCGAAGTTCTACGCGCTTCGCGGTTCGGCTACAATTCCTCCGCATCCTCCTCTTCTCCCCCGGGAGGCGGCGCGAGAGCGCGAAGTCATTCGCCCTGCGCGCTTCGCCCCGGCGCGAAGCGCGACGTTGGGAGCCCTTGGGCTCCGCTGCCCCCACCGCGCGGAGGGCACCACTGAGCCTGCACACAGCTCCCGACGAGGCCGGCCCTGGGCCCGGGGGCGGTGCGCGTGATCCCGCGTGCGCGGGCGGCGAAATTCATGCGTGCAGGGGCGACCCCTGCCAGCAAACACCCTGCTTGCCCCCAGGGTGCCCTTGGTTTCCTGGGTGTCGATGGCTTTGCGATGGAGAGCGCGAGGTTCCCACATCAACAATCCCTGGACGCCCTGGGGTCTCGGGGTCGGGCTTCTCGAGGAAGGTCTCTTGTGGTCGGGCCTCCACCGTATCCACTGCTCCCTGGCCATGCCCATCCTGAACCCAGGAGCTGAGTATACGCCCCTTGGCCAAGCCAGCAGGGCGTGGCGTACACACCGCTGCCAGGTTCAGGCTGGACCTGGCCGGGGAGCAGTGGACGTGTACAGGTTCCGCCGCCCTGCATGCCCGAGCCAGGAGGACGCCTACCCCGATCCTGGGCCGAGGATCGGCCTGGCCAGGGTCAGTGCGGGTGCTAAGGTTGGTGCCCTCATGCCCCCTCGTCTTTCTCCTGTTCTAGGCGAGGCCGCTTCGCGTGAGCCTACCAGCCCATGCAGGATCGATGCCCGGGGCGGGTTGCCCAGGTCAATATCACGTCGAGGAGCACGCAGTGTAAGACAGGCTGGGCAGCCGTCATACCCCAAGAGGGAGAGGATGGAGGAGGAACCAGAGGAGGGGGATGATGATGCTGATGATGCTGATGCTGATGCTGATGCTGCTGATGATGGTGATGCTGATGATGGTGATGCTGATGATGATGGTGATGCTGCTGATGCTGCTGATGATGATGATGGTGATTTTGATGATGCTGCTGATGATGATGATGATGATGATGATGATGATGGTGATGATGATGATGATGATGATGATGATGATGCTGATGATGTTAATGATGATTATGATGATGATGTTGTTGTTTTTGTTGTAATTGTTGATTATGATGAGGAGGAGGAGGAGGAGGAGCCTCCCAATCCCACCTCCTCTCCTATTCCTCATCTGTTGGATTGTCGGCATCACATCGGTGCCCGGTATTCGGGTGGGTGGCTGCGCGACCTGCACGCTGGCCGGCACGGGTTTTCCTGAAGTGCGAATTGGTTGGGGCGGCGGGCCCAGCGGCCCTGAGTTTGGGCAACTCGCCGTGGCGAGTCATATCGGTCAAATGCCTGATTTCGGCCACGCGCAGGTGTGGGTTGGGGGAGCGGGAAGCCTTCTTAGAAGCACCCCTGCATCTTGGACGGAGCGGGCCTTGTCTATAGATGTAAGGCCGGCGCCTTCTAAGAAGCAACCCATTTCTAAGAAGCCTTAGCCCTTCCCACTACCCTCATGTGCGCGCCGCCAATGTTTGGCAATGCGTAACTACCTCGCCAAGCAGGAGTTTGGCCAAGATATTGGTTAGTCTATACACATATAGGGAGCGCATCGCAAACTCGTTAGAAGCAAGCAAGCTTCATGAAATAACTTCTTTGATTCTCATTGCAGAGGACCCCTGCGTCACCTCGCCAGTGCTTGACTGTTCATGACGAGGGCCAGCGATAGAGCCTCCCCTTGACACACTGGCCACCAGCCAGGGCCGCTTGCTTGGCATGCGCGGCGCGCCAGGGGCGGGAGGCAGATGGGGTGGGGCAACCCCAGAAGGCTCGGGAGCCCGCAGGCCCTCTGAGAAGCTTCCGAGACCTTCTCCGAAGACACGGAAGGATTCTGAGAAAGCCGGACGGAAGGCTTTACCGAACACGCAGTTGTTGTATATCGTACATTGTATATTTCAGTTCCGTTACAGTTGAGGTACGGGCCCGTGTCCAGTCCAATCGTTTGAAAGTTGTGGTCGCCTCCCCCAAGCGTCTCGTCAGCATTGTTATTTTTTCTGCCACACGTTTTCAGCTCTCCAAGATATTGCTTCGCATACTGACTCGATCGCTTCGCCAGTAGAAGCGGCGTGTCGTCGGACTACAGGATTCCGCGACCCACTATACATGCGGGCTCTTCTTTGGAGGTCACGGTTGTTGAAGTGGTCGTGCAACTTCGCACCTTGAGCGATAACGAGCAGATGTGGTGACAAAGGGCACCCCGTGTAGTTATTGTTTGTCGCTTTCTTTCAGGCGAGGCTCCCGTGTGATCCAATCCGAGCAGCACAGAAAAAAAACAGCAACCACAGCCGAGGGGACTGTTCTGGAGGGCCTCTCGCGGGAGACTCCGCCGACCAAGACGTGAGTTCTTCGGTTGTGGCTGTGGTCGATTGGGCTATCGGGGAAGCCCACAGCGACCACAACCAGTCCTGAGCCGGTTGGGCTGCTCTTACGACTGCTGACATGCGCGAGACGCCCCCCACGGGTGCGTCCTCGATGTGGCAGTGGTCGTTTCCTAGACATGCGATGTCCTCATTCTTTGAAGTCCCGACCCCTTCCCCGGGGCTGGTTCTTCATCCCGAGTCGTTCTTTTGACGGTCCCTGGGCCGGGCGAGGGCCCCCAGAAGCCGAAAACGGTCAAAATCGTCCCGTCCTGATTTGGTCACGACGCGAGCATGTCTGTTACTGCCAATTTTTTTGGGAGCCCAGATGTCTCTTCTTCGATGAACGTGGGGGGACCACAAGGTACCGATACCATGACTTCCCACACCTCGCCCGGCGTGCGTTCCCGCCAGAATTTCGAGGCGAATCCAACGGTGGCGACGAGGGCCTCCCAGGAGGCCCAAACTGGCGAAAACAGAGAGAAGGTAGCAGTATGGGTACCTTTCCACCTCTGACAGGCGAGCGTGTCTGGCACGGTCGGACCGAGGTGTAAGATCGAGGTCGGTTCGGGGAGGGTACCCACATGTTCTTCGTGTCTGTTGGATGTTCTTGTGCATCATGGTGAAGGTGCCTCTAGATGTTCTGTGTGCTTTGGCCGGCGGAGTGTCTCATGTTGTTGGCGGATGTTGTTCTGTCCTACAGCCAAGACGCTGAAATAAGGAACAGTGTGGGTTCGGAAAGGGGCTCGATGTTCTGTAGATCCTTCCGCCGCTGTTTCTCTAGCGGTCCTCGTGCACGCAGGCGCCTGTGGGGCCGAGAAGGGAGTCCGCCGCTTATCTCCCAGACCCCCGGATGCCATGATCTTGTTCACAACGTCGACCCCGAGAGGTCTCGATCCATTTCCTCGTGATTTCCTCAGGACCCGAGGGGGGGTCTGGGTCCTGGGCGGTGGGAAGCTCGGGCCAGACGAAAGGGGGAGGATTGGGAAAGGGGGGGTTACGAAATCTGCTGCATGCAGCTGGTTTCGGCCCCGCCGCCAGGCCAATTCATTCCTCGATACATGGGCGCCTCCCGGCGCCGGGAGGCGCTGGGAAAATCAGCTACGTGAGCTGATTCTCTAGCCTACCCTTTGCTATCCCCCCTTTCCGTTCCCCCGACAGAAGCCTATGGACCACCTCTCCATGGGCCAGTCTTCTGCCCCGGGCCGTTCTCTGACGCTGCCGGGGTCCGGCGAGGGCTCCCGGATGCCGAAAACAGCCACGAGCAGGCGGACGAGGGGTTCATTTAGGGGAACAGAAAGTGGCATAAACAGAAAAACTCGGAGGTCCGCGCGGATTTCTCGGATCGGCGCTGGACCCCCCTCCCTGGCGCGCGGAGCGCGCCAGGGGCGGCGCCGGAGGCGCCGCCGCGGGGCCCCAGCGCCGATCCGAGAACTCCGCGCGGAGCTCCGAGTTGTTATGTTTATGCCATTTGTTGCTCCCCTATTATTTCAGAGCGTGAATTACCTACCCCGCTTTCGCTTCCAGGAAAAAACAAGTCATACCACGCGCCTCCTTGTCAAGCGACCTGACCAGTACAGGCCGTAGTTTGGCATCGCTCGGTATCTCTTGGAAGCGAGGGTGGTCAAAAGCGAGGTCGGTTTGTTTTCCCCCTATTATTAGCGTTCCTCACGTCGGCGGCCCGACGTGCAGGCCCGACCGCAGACGATCTCGCTGCGCGCCTCGGCCCGGCGAGCCGAGGCGCCGAGGGCGGCGGGCCCAAGACGAGGGGCGGTCGCCGCCGCCGCGGGGCGAGCCCCGCCTCCGCTCGGGGGCAGCGCTGGGGGCGCGGGACGACGACGACGACGACGACGACGACGACGACGACGACGACGACGACGACGACGACGACGACGACGACGACGACGACGACGACGACGACGACGACGACGACGACGACGACGACGACGACGACGACGACGACGGCGGCGGCGGCGGCGACGACGACGACGACGACGACGACGGCGACGGCGACGGCGACGGCGACGACGACGACGACGACGGCGACGGCGACGGCGACGGCGACGGCGAAGGCGACGGCGACGGCGACGGCGACGGCGACGACGACGACGACGACGAAGGCGACGGCGACGGCGACGGCGACGGCGACGGCGACGACGACGACGACGACAGCGACGACGACGGCGACGGCGACGGCGACGGCGACGGCGACGGCGACGGCGACGGCGACGGCGACGACGACGGCCGCCGCGGGGCGAGTCCCGCCTCCGCTCGGGGGCAGCGCTGGGTGGAGGGGGGGAACATCGCTGGTGCCCTGCGCAGCACACACAAAGGGGAATGTACCATTGCTGCTACCCTTGCCTCGTTTTCCTTTTTTGTCTCGAGTCACCCAAGACATGTCGAGGGGACTGGGGGGCCCACAGGTCGAGCCGAGCATGCCTGGGCTTCTCTCATCCCGACCCTCTCCGCTTCTCCCTCCTCGTCCTCGTCCCCGCTTTTCCCTCAACCACATGCTTTTCCCGTTCTTCGTCCTAACCTTCGTGATGCTCCCTATGTTTCAGTTTCCTGCCCATATCCTCTTCTCTTCTCTGATGTTGCTCTTCCTCCTCCTCCTCCTCCTCCTCCCGCTCCTCCTCTCCTCATCATCATCCTCGACCTTCCTTTATCAGCGCTCAAATGCCTAGTCAATTTACGTATACCCAAATTTCTATACCTATATATGTGTGTATGTATATGTATACATGCTTATGTAGAGAGCGAGAGAGAGAGAGAACACAACAGCAAAAAACAAAAGTCGAAAGAGAGAGAGAGAGAGAGGGACTGTGCGAGCGAAAGAGCGGGATATGGATAACGGACAGTGTAGACAATTAGGGGCAGTCATGGTTGCGCGTGAGGAGGGTGCTTTGGAGGGCCGGAGGCCAAGCGTGAGAGTTGCCAGCTGGTTTGGCGATGCTCAGACGCGTCGTCAGGGTGAGTTAGCATCAACCTAGCGTGAGCGTGAGAGGGCGGGACGCCCGAGATGAGAAAGGTGCGACACAGATCAGCATCCAGTGGCACACAGAGGAAAGTGCCTCGCAGGGCTCCGCAAGAAGAGTTTTGCGGTCAACAGTTGCCGCAACGTTGGCCGTTGTGGCGGAGCACCTCCCCGTGAGCTTCGGTGCCAGCCGCTTGCCCGCGGTTTCCCTATGACTCTTGCACTGTCTCGGTCTAGCTGGTCCCGAGAGGACAGATGAGTTCAGTCGGGCCTCTCGACGAAAGCTCGAATGCGGCCTTCTGGGAGGTCCAGCGAGCCAGTCGGGGGTGGCCTTGCGAGGGACAGCGCCAGAGGGGCCAGTGGGGCCGACAGCTCAAGCTCACAGATTTCTGAAGGGATGCCGAGCATAAAGCGGGTTGGCCTGGGAGGTCTCCGCGCGCTGTCATGTACGTAGGTGGAGTTGGCCGGGGCGGATAGGAGAGAAGGACTAATCAGGAGACGAGGGCTTCTCAGGCCCAGAGAGCGTGGCAGAGCCATTTGACTCTCACCATTCGGGTCGTACCAGGTCCGAGGTTGCGCGCGGCACTCACGAGCGCAGCGAGGGGACGCGAGCAAGGGAGAGGAAAGAGAAGCATCGCGCTTGTGTCAACGCCGCGTAGAAGCTTGAGGCTTCAGCCCTTTCTTCACGCGCCTCGTTTCGTCCTGTCTTCTCGCTTCAAGGCTGGCTTTCGACACTGCACGTGTGCTCGTGCACGGGGCGATTCGATGGCCGCGATGCGATATCCTCCATATCTCCATATCCCGCTGCGACGCAGCATTGCTGTGGTGATGCGAAAGAGGATGATGGCATCATATGAATCGTGGTCCACGTGGAAATGATTCAAGCCCTACCGGGTTCCGAAACATTGGCGAACGCAATTTGGATGTGGCCGATCGGGGCTTCACAGTCCCCGAATCTCGGGCAGTGCCGCGTGGCATAGGCCTCTCACGATTTCAGCCCTGCGATGCCCTCGAATCCTCACCGCCCCAGTCTGCCCAGGTGCTCAGAGCGTGGCAGGGCCACCATATCGTGAATGTGGCGGAGCCGTGCCGTCGCGCGGCAGGCCGCAGTCTGGTCTCAGGTGCCTTCTCTCGGGGGCGTCGAGGGTGCACCGCCACCAGGCCTGGCACACTCCCAGGCACGCGGTGTTTGGTCTTCGGCCATCCGCGGTCTGGCCAAGGGCGGAGGTGCACCGCGAGGTGCCCCACTGCCCCCCCCCCACCCTCCGCCCCTGGGCGCAAGTCGGGTGGGGGGAGGGAGCCCAGACCCCCAAAATCACGACGGGTAATCTTTGCTATTTTCGGCCGTTGGGGGACCTTACTGGATCGGGATGAGAGTCCGGTCCTGGGGAATGGGTCGAGACCTCTGGGGGTCGACGTCATGAAAAATTCATGACGTCGGGGGTCAGTGGAAACCGGGGTCAGCCAGAGCGCTGGATGATGTAGGATTTTGCAGAACCAGGGTTGCATCGAGCTAGGCTAGCGCGCAGAATCCTGCAGGATTTTCCAGGATCCCGCAGAGCACGGCTTACCTGGGTTTGGATTGAACCAGGCCAGTGCGTCCCTGACGGAATTGGGTGTTCGATCATGGGCCTCTTCCAGGACCTTGACGTCAACATTTTCCTTCAGGTCAGGGTGGAGTGATTGGGAGGAGGAGGAGGAGGAGGAGGAGGGCGGAGGAGGAGGAGGAGGAGGGCGGAGAATGAGGAGGAGACTGAGGAGGAGGAGGAGGAGGAGGAGGAGGAGGAGGAGGAGGAGGGGGAGGGGGAGGGGGAGTTGGTGGTGGTGGAGGAGGCGGAGGAGGATCGATCGAGCCGTGGGGACGAAGTTCGCAACCTCCTCAGAATCGGTAGCTTAAAAACTGTTTTTAAATCGTCCTAGCTGTACTCTCTGCGCTTGCTGGGTGAGCTGGCACGATGTCGTGCTCGGGCCCAACCCGCACCGAAAGCCCCACGCAGAGGCTGGAGGGCGGGGTAGCACCCGCCCCTCGCGGAAACCTACCTCGCCTGTTGCCCCTGGTTTTTACCCTGGGCTCGCCCCCCTTTACCCCGACCTTTCCTTCTGGGTTCGGGAGGGGGGGGAGGGCGGTGCATCAAAAAGTAGTCAGGAAAACCATGGCCTCTGAACCTAAAAACTTCAGGAGCGTTCTGAGGAGGAGGGGTTGGGAGTCTGCCTCTGGCCACCAGCTCTCGGAATCGTACACTATTTTCGAAAGCTCTGGGCACGGCGCGGGGCGTTCCCTCACTCTGGATTTGGCGTAAGCCTACGGCATGCTCTTCTCTGGCGTCCTCTGCGTCTCGTTCGGCGGTCAGCCGTTGACCAGGCGCCCGAGTTCCCGCTCCAGCGCCCCGCGCGGCGCCGAGCCCACGCGGCGCGTGGCTCCCTCCTTCTTGGGCTGGTTGACTAGCACTGTCGCAATCTGGTGATCGTTCGCGTTGAAAGTGAACTGGAACCTGCACTTGTCTTTCCCGTTGCCATCCTTGCCTTTGTTGCGCCGAACGCGAAATACTGGTACTGAATCTCCGAGCACTTCTGGAGCGGCGTTGAGTACTTTGTCGCGGTAGTACTGCTCGACGTGCTGCTTGGAAGCCCCTTCCTCGAGCGTCTTGCCCAGGTAGGCGCAGACCTCCGTCCAGACCTTCAGGTGCGGGCTTCCAAGCTGCGCCGTGTCGACTGCCTCGCCGGCCTTGGCGCGCTGGTTCAGGTCCTGAGCCTCCTCGTTGTAGGCGCGCCCTGCTTCGAGTCCCGATGTAGCGATATTGGCTTCCGTTCCGATCTCCCACGTCTGAAGTACTGCGGAGGCCAGTTCTGCTTGTTCCCGTGCCAGGGTGAGCGCGAGCCTCGCCGTCAGGTCGACCATCTGCTGCTGCTGGCCCGCTGCTGGTCCCGCTGGGCCGCGCTGTTGTCCCGCCCCTCCGCGTCCACGGCTGCGGTCTGGGCGAGCTCCCTGTGCGCGTAGCGGCTGTCCGCCATTCGGCCTCTGGTCGAAAAGAGACATCCTTTGCTGGCTGAAGTAGTTGTCGAGGAAGGTGTGTGCAAAGGTGGCGGTAGCAGCTATGCTTATCTAAGGCAAAATGACTACAGATCGGACATTGAGGTTCGTGTGGGGCCGCTTCGTACTGGTTCTTCGTCGTGTCTCGGCTGCAGCCCCCTCGAATCATACTTCGTGCTAGGTGTTTCCAGGCCGTTCCTTTGCTGGTGAATACCTGCCCACAATTGATGCACTCGTTGTTGCTGGTAAGAATTGCCGCTAAGTTATGAACATGGTGTGCTCGTATGATATGGCTGTGTAACGCTTTCTTGCTTGCAAATAACATTCCACATACGTCTCGTTCGTCAAGAAGTTCGCATTTCCAAATATTTTTCTCGTCTAAGGCTATGTTCTCTCGTTGTTCGTCGTCGTGATCTTGCTGTACTGGGGGTACCGCTACTGCTAGTTTGGCTGCTCGTATTTCCTTGGGGTCCAGGCTCCAAAGTTGTTCTCGGATATCTAGCGTGAAGAGCTTGCCTATCGTTATGTCCTAGCTCCGCCCTAAGATGTCCTGGAAATTCTCTGAGACCTCGCAGGCATACTTAATGTCCTCCAGAAACCTCTGAGCCCATGGATTCGTGTCGCTCTGGATCGCGTCGGTGGTCGTTTCGGTGTTCGTCTCGAAGTCGACTCGGCCGAAGAGCGCAACGATCAGCTGTTTGTTGTTAGCAGGGAAGCGCAGAATAGTTTTTAGCCAGCTGACTCGTCGTATCAGTGCCTCTTCTGCCGGCGGCAATATTTGCCAATGGCGGAAGACCTCCAAGGTGCTCATGCTCCGCACGGTGCCGTCCTCGCGGTACGTCGTGGCTCTGCCTCGCATGGCCTTACGTAGTAGTGCTCCCATCGCACTCTGGAGTTGTCTGTACTCTGTCGTGTTTGGGAGGAAGCACTCGATGCACGAGAGGCCTGTGTTGATCACTCGGCAAAGTAGTACTGCTCGCTTCCAACGGTATGGGATGTTGGCCTTGCTCCAGAACGCTCCGCACTCGTAATAGCTCTTCTTCATGGCTGCGATGCGCTTGATGAGTTCCGCTCCGTAGTTCTGGTGAGGGCTGACTTGCGGTCCGAGATAACGGGCGTGTGGAAGTACTTTACCTGGCATCTTGGCGCCTGTGTTGTTCTTGATGTCACGGTGCGCCTTCTTCGAGCCGTGGCCCTGGAAGTTGATGATGGTCTCCTGCTTGTCCTGGTTCTGCCGCATCCCGATCTCTGTGAGCCTGGTGTTCAGCATGTTGTCCACCTGGTGGGCCTGATTCACGATGTCGTGCGCGTCTGCCCGCTGAGTAATGATAAGCTTGCGTAAGTCATCTGCGTACTTCGTGAGGCCGAGGTATACTGGATACTGGAAAAGCTCGCTGTTCCCATACAGAAGATGATCATGTGGGAGTTGAGCCTTGCAATCTCGTACCCATTGTTGTACACTAGGCGCAAAGCTGGCGACGAAGTTCTGCACCATGTAGGGGTCGCCGATTAAGCCTCCGCAGTGCGGTTTGATACAGACTCCGTGTTGTTCGTCTCGGCATGGTATGTTGAACGTCGCTCTCTGATATCTTTGTTTGCCTATCTCTTCCATGTCGTCTGGCATGATCTTGCGGTTGGCTTCATCCATCTCGTGCCACGAGCAGCTCGCGAAAGCGTTGGACATGTCCTTCATCGAGGAAGCGAAGTTCCAGCCTGCTTGTCTGGCTCGATATTCCACTATAGCCATCGTGAGAATTGCTCCTTCTCGTCTTCGTCCTCTGATAAATCCGTAGTCCTGATCCGTATGCGTTCTAGTTTTTTTTCTCTTCAGGCAGCCCGAGTAGTACGCCTTGCCGATGGGGTCCATGATGTGGTAAATTCTCTTGCCCGCGGGGCCAGGCTTTTGGTTCTTCTTCACGGCGGTGGCTGCGCTCTGGTGCCATCGGACTGGAGTTGCGTTGCCAATTCTGATCGCCGCCAGTGATGCTCGAAATAGTTCCGTGAACAAGTTGGGTTGTCGATCTGCACGTGGTGCCCCGAGTCCTTGGCGTTCTTGCCGTTCTGGGTTGGGTGGGCAAAGAATGAGTCGCCACAGTTCCGACGGTGCCGAAGTAGGGGGTGCCGCTCGGCGTAGCTTCGCTTTCTTGATGCTCTTGGTGGTGTACTCGAAATCCTCGTCGACCTTCTCCTCTAAGTCGTTCTCGTAGTAGTCCTGCTGCTCGGTGGGGCTAGGGATCTGGTCGAGCGTGTGGATGTCCTGTTCCGTGCCCTCCATGCCTCCCATGCCGCCGGGTAGCTTCCAGAAGTCGAGCCATTCCTGCTTGCTCGGGTTCGCGGTCACGCTGGTCCAGTAGTCACGTTTTCTTGGGCCGTATCGTCCCCCTGCGATCAGTTTGGATAATCGGCCTACTCGTGCAAGGTCTCGTTGCTTCCACGCCTCGTACAGCTCCTCGACCCTCGCGTCCGTCCTGACCTGGTGCTCCTGCTTGCGGAGTCTGGCGCAATGGTTCGTGATGTGTCGTAACTCCACTTCCAGTGCATGTAGTTCTTGTTCGTATTCTGCATGTTGGCGTTCCGCTGTGTCGTCGTATGGGTTGTCAGGTTGTAGGGCTTGAAGAAGTTCGTGCGGGGTGTCGTAGTTAATCTCGGAGTCGACGATGCGTAAACTATTCCCGCGGTCCCGTAGTGCTTGTCGTAAATCTCGGCGTCGTCGTAGTAGCGCCAGTCGTCGGTCTCGGAGTGCGGCGTATTCTGGATCTTCTCTGCGTTGTGTCTGTCCGTAGTATGGCTTGGCCGCGTCGATGATCATTCGGTTGATGTCTTGGAATAGCTGGTCGATGCCTTTGCCCTCTGCGTCGTAGTTTTCGACCTTAGTCTCCATATCTTTGATGAACTCGTCTCGATTGTGTCCTTTGTGTACTGCCTGTACCAGTAGATCCTTGTCCCAGCGAGTCTGCAGCGTAGTCTGGCGTACTCGGTGTCGTAGCGGTATGCGTAGTGTAGTTTGAATTGGAACGTGGTCCCGATGAAATCGACTCGGTATGTGCTGGAGTCGTGTGCCCATCCGAAGGAGGGGGCCTTGGCTGATCATGCTGCCGATAAGGTCCTGGGGCGCCATGATGTAGTCGATGCAGCTGGCGTGCTTCTCTCCGAAGTAGGTTGGCCTCCAGGATGCTGCTTCTCGGTCTGGTTTTGGCCATTTCGTCCATCCACTTGAACAGTCTGGCCACCGTCGCGTAGTACTGCTTGCGCTCCACGGTCTTCTTGGGCTGCGGTGGGCAGTAGTAGCCAATGAGGAACAGGTCTGTATCGTGATGTCGCAGGTGTAGTGCAAGTCCTCTGCCGCGAAGTTCGCTTGGCGGTTCATGAATTCCGAGTATCTGTGCCCCTAGTAGTTTGCCCTGTACAGCGATGATAATGCCCGTGTTGCGGTTGGTGAGGGCGCCTGGTTGCCATCCAGCGTCGATCACCCGTGTGTCGTTATATCTGCGTTGTTCGGGGTGTGCTTCTCGTCGGAGTCTCTGGGTACCTGTAAGGATGATCACGTCGAAGTTGCGGGCCTCCTCGTAAATCTCTCGTTGTCGGTCGGGCGGCGCCGTCAGCGGATTGAAAAGCAACAGAGCGAAGGAGGCCGTCCATGCCGTCGCCATGCGGGCCTCCGCCCAGCTATGTGTGTCGCCACATACAGTGTAATAGCTGTGTGAGGTCCTGTGGCTGCCCTGACAATCTCTTAGGCCCAGATGGCAGCTGGCGGAGGAGGAGGAGGAGGAGGCGGGGGAGGAGCTGGAGGAGGAGGAGGAGTAGGAGGAGGAGTGGAATCAGTTGGAGGAGTTGGAGGAGGGGGAGGAGGAGGACCAGTGTAACACCCAAGAGTCATCAACGATGTTGGAATACACCCGCGGTCCAAGCCCCGTTTCCATAGGCCCCTACAGCGGTTCATTTCCACTGAGGAAACTGCCTCGTTGGAAGACAACCGTTTGAAGGCCCTGAAGCACACCGAAACATTTTTCTCGGGATTCAAACGCCCCAGATCAAACTGAATGTTGCGTTTTGGCGATCCAGGACCGTGCCAGAACGCCATTCCTGGGACTTCCACACCGCTAGTCGCAGTAACTGTTGCACCATCATAATCTTGAGACAGGGCAGAGCGCAATTCCTGGTATGCGTATCATGGGAATACGTGCGACTCTTGTTAACCAGAACTGATGTGCGCAGCGCTAAGGCGAGAGCCACATAAAAAGCACCCGCCCTCAATCTGTGAAACTCTTGCAAAGGTTCAACAAATATGCGCGGCAATATGGCGAGAGCCACATTTTGAAGACGGGCGCTAAGGCGAGAGTCATTTTTTGAACACCACCCGCCCTCAATCCGTGAAGCTCTTTCACATGTTTAAAAAGCATGTGCGCGGCGCTCAGGCGAGAGCCACATTTTGAAAACGACCCGCTCTCAATCCGTAGAGCTGTATCTAACGATGAGAACGAATGTGCGCGGCGCAAAGGCGAGAGCCACATTTTGAAAACGACCCGCCCTCAATCCGCAAAACTCTTGCAGATGTTAAAACCGAAAGGCGAGAGCCACGCTTTGAAAACCACTCGCCCTCCATCTGTCAACCTGATGCCAATACTGAAGCCTCAGGGTCATAAATGAACGCTCAGCCCGCCCTAAAAACTGGCCTCGGGGTGCGACAGGGAGAAGATATTATCTTGCACAGCTGTGTTCTGGAGCTCGGACCTCTTTATTTTCGTTCGTCGTCGTCGTTCGTTCGTTCATCGTTCTCCCCCCCCCCTGGCCACAGAAGGGAACTCCTGGAGGAAGGAGGCGAAAGCCTCCTGTCCCTCGCAGCTCCTTGGTGCACGAGCCAGGGCACGCGTGCCACCTGTTTCTTAGGGACAAGGAAAGGAGGAGGCAGGAAGAACGGGGGGAACCAGAAGGCCGAGGCAGCGCATCCACAGAGCAGTGGGCGCGCGGACCGGCGGCGGCAGCCCCGCCTCCGTCCAGAGCCGGCGCGCTCCGTCGCCGAGCGCGGCGGCGCGGTGGCCCTGAAACGACGCGAAGGTCGGGACAAAATCGGATCGGGATAACTCGAAATCTCTGAGAATCGGCGGGTTTGGAGGATGTATTGGGCGCCGCGGCCGCTCCAGAGCGTTCCGGAACGCTCTGAGAGCGCTCCGGAACGCTCTGGAGCGATTTATCCCGATCCTAGCCCTGTTTTAGGCCCCACGCTGCGGGGCGGGCCCGCCCGGAGCCGTGTCCGCGTGCGCCCCAGGGCGGGTGGCCACCACCCACCAGGCCACCCCAGCCTGGCCCGAAGCTACCAGCCTGGAGCATATCCCCATCCCTATGCTGGGCACCTCCTCATCACGATGCCACGCTCAGGGATTCCCTTATGTTTTGAGGGCGGATCCCTAAGACTGTCATCGCCTTTTGGCGTGTCAATCTTAGAGATAGGGATACGTTCGAGGCTGGTAACGAAGGCCTCGATTTGCCCTCCACTTCCGCTGGGGGTGGGGGGGGGGGACCACCGGAGGAACACGCCTGGAACCCGTACCCCCCCCAACCCGAAAGTCGGGTCTTCGGGCTGGGTTGGGGTGGTTTGGCAGGTGGTCAGGTGGGGAAGGGGACGGGCCCGCGGGGGAGCGAAGGGAGCGCGCGGGGGAGCCAGGGGCGGGGAGGGCCGGGCGGGGGCGAGGGAGGGGGCGGGGGGGCGCAGGGCAGGGCCGCGGGGCCAGGCAGGGGCCGGCGGCACGCCCAGCTCCCGCCCATGCCCAGATGATGAAGCTTCGCAAGGAGGCCCCCGCGCCGGCAGGGAAGGCCCCGGGCAAGGCGAAGGCGCCCATTGCCCCTGCCGCCGATGCCCCCCATTCTCAGAAGCAGCGAGAGGAGGAGGAGGAGGAGGAGGCGGAGGAGGAGGCGGAGGAGGAGGCGGAGGCGGAGGCGGAGGAGGAGGAGGAGGAGGAGGAGGAGGAGGAGGAGGAGGAGGCGGAAGAGGAGGACCAGTGCAACACCCAAGAGTCATCAACGATGTTGGAATAAACCTTCCCTCCAAGCTCCCTCTTCATATGCCCCTGCAGCGGTCTCGTTGGAAAAGAACGGTCTGAAGACCCTGAAATAACCAAACAAATTGTCTCGGGACTCCGACGCCACGGATCAACCTGTCTGTTGCGTCTTGACGGTCCTGCATCGTGCCAAAAGGCAATTCCTGGGACTTCAACATCGCGAATCAACGTAACTGCTGCACCCTCATAATCCTGAGATGTTCCAGAATACCATTTTTGGTACGTTGGCCATGGGGATCCGTGAGACTCTTGCAAATGTTTAAAACGAATGTGCGCGTCGCTATGGCGAGAGCCACATTTTGAAGACCGCCCGCCCTCAATCCGTGAAGCTATTGCAAATGTCTGAATCGCATGTGCGCGGCGCTCAGGCAAGAGCTACATTTTGAACACCACCGGGCCTCCGTCTGTGCAATTGTTGACAATCTTTGGGCTCTAGGGTCATACATGGTCAGGATGTCTCAGGCGAAACGCCCAGCCTACCCTTTCGACCGGCCTCGGGATGCAATACAGAACAAAATAATTAACGAAAAGGCATGGAGGAGGAGGAGGATGAGAAGGAGGAGGAGGACGACGACGAGGAGGACGACGAGGAGGAGGAGGATTTGGAGGAGAATGGGGAGGAGAAGGGGGAGCGTCAGGAGGAGGGGGAGTCGGAGGGGGAGGGGGAGAGGGAGTGGGATGGGGGAGGCCCCGGGGGAGCGGGATAATGATGGTGTTGATGATGTTGATGCTGATGCTGATGCTGATGCTGATGCTGATGATGATGATGATGATGATGATGATGATGATGATGATGATGCTGCTGCTGCTGATGATGATGCTGATGCTGATCCTGATGATGATGATGCTGATGGTGATGATGATGATGATGATGATGCTGATGATGATGATGATGATGATGATGATGGTGATGGTGATGATGATGATGATGGTGATGATGATGCTGATGCTGATGATGATGCTGAGTCTGATGCTGGTGATGATGATGATGATGATGACGAGGATGAGGACGAGGTTGAGGATGAGGATGAGGATGAGGATGAGGATGAGGATGATGATGAGGATGAGGATGAAGAAGAAGCAGAAACAGAAGAAGAAGAAGAAGGAGAAGATGAAGAAGACGAAGACGAAGAAGAAGCATAATAATAATGATAATAATAAGAAGATGATGATGAAGAAGAATTGATTATGATGATGATGATGATGATGATGATGATGATGATGATGATGATGATGATGATGATGATGATGATGATGATGATGCTGATGCTGATGATGATGCTGATGCTGATGCTGATGCTGATGCTGATGCTGATGACGATGACGATGACGATGACGATGAGGAGGAGGAGGAGGAGGAGGAGGAGGAGAGGAGGGAGGAGGGAGGGGGTAGGAGGAGAGCCTGAGGAGGAGGAGAGGAGGACGACGAGGAAAAGGAGAATTTGGGGGAGGAGGAGGAGGAGGAGGAGGAGGAGGAGAGGAAGAAGAGGAGGACAAGGACGAGGCTGAGGAGGAGGAGGAGGAGGAGGAGGAGGAGAGGAAGAGGAGGAGGAGGAGGAGGAGGAGGAGGGGAGGTGAAGGGAGAGGGGGAGGGGAGGGGGAGGGGGAGGGGGGAGGGGAAGGGTGAGGGGAGGGGGAGGAGGAGGGGGAGGAGGAGGCGGAGGAGGAGGAGGAGGAGGAGGGGCGGAGGAGGAGGAGAAGGCAGCGGCGGAGGAGGAGGAGCCGGAGGCGGAGGTGGAGAACGGAGGAGGAAGAGGAGGAGGAGGAGGAAGAGGAGGAGGAGGAGGATGAGGAGGGGGAGGAGGAGGAGGGGGAGGGGAGGGGAAGGGGGAGGAGGAGGAGGGGGAGGGGGAGGGGGAGGGGGAGGAGGAGTGGAAGGAGGAGGAGGAGGAGGAGGACGTGTATAAACTCCAGGCTCATCAACGATATTGAAGTACACCCTCCCTCCAAGGTCCCTCTTTATAGGCCCTTACGGGGGGTCATTTCCATTGATGGAATTGCCCCGTTGGGGGACAACCGTGTGCCATCTTGGATTCTCTAACTACCCGCGACCCTGTTGTCTAGGTCCAGGGGGAGGGTGTAGGGGTAAACCCGTCCCCGAAGGGGAAGAAGGTGGGTTTGAAAAGGAAACGCCCTAAACCACTCACGCTCTCAATGGCTGGTGGGATTTGTGATGGTGGGCTCGGCAGCCAGGGTTGCATGCCGTGGGCAGCAGTGAGCATGCACATCTTGCTGGAGTTGGCCTGGCCGGAGGTGACGGGCGCGAGATGGAGAGGGAGGCCAGGATGGGTATGGCGCGAGGGTGACCGAATTCAGAGATGATGTCGTACTCATTAGTTTTGCGACGAAGCGGTACCCATACCGCTACCCCTGCTTTGTTTTCGCCTTTCTGGGCCTCCTGGGGGGCCCTCATCGCAACAGTTTGATTTGCCTCGAAATTCTGTTCAGAACGCACCCTGGGAGAGGCCCGTGGAGTAGCAGTATCGGTACCCTGTGGTATCCCCGGAAACATGATAATGCCATTATTCATCCTGGCGGCGCCCCCTTCTGATCATTCTCGGGGAAGTCTTGCGCAGCCAGAGAGGCTGGTCGCCACAGGTTCGTCGTCACGGGTTCGTTTGCGACACATGGTGGCGAGGATATCCGTTCGTTTCAGCGTGATGGTGTCTGGATGCGATGTTGACGATGATGGTGAATTTGATGATTGTGAAGATGCCGACGACAATCATGCTAGTGTTGTTTTTGTATACGCTTTGCGAGCCCTCAGCAGACGATCCAGTGACCAGTGTGGCGGCGCCTGTTGGATTGGTGTGTTCTGGCTGGTCTACTCTGGTCGCGTTTTTGCTCATGTTAGCAACGGGTCCCGCTTCCATGCAAAATTGGCGCGCTCCGCCACGAAGTTACGCGGCGTTGGCCCCACGTTAAGGGGGATGTGTTGCCCGGTTCGTGGATCGGGCGCCCTCGCGCTAGATTCACGTATTCGTAAGCAATGTTTGCGTGCGCCCGACATTCCTTGCCGATTGGCGCTTGGATGACCTAACCTACCCAGACACGGGTGGTCTCCCCATCGGGGGCCTATCTGCGATGTATCGTCGATTCCGGGTCATTGTTCCCCCCTGAGCTAGTCCCCCCCCGTTCGGCTCTTCTCCCATCTCCCCCCCCCGGCTTGCCGATCTGGCCAACTCTGCCTTTATTGAAAAAGCCCAGGTCCACGGTGCTAGCCAGCTGTCACGCGGGTTCCTCTCTGATCGCCGAAAAATCCTGACCCGTTTAAATGTGATCATCAGAGTTCGTTTGAGCAAGCACTTCTGGTTCGAGCTATCCTGGTGTCTCTGAGAGTACAGTCAAGACGCTGAAATACGCACCACTTTGAGCTTTACGCCAACGCGGGCGTTTACGCCAGCGCCGACGCCAGCGTCATCGTCCGCGCCTGCACTGGCACAAACGCCATCGCGTTATTACATCCAGCGCCGACGCCAGTTCCGAAGCCAGCACCAACGCCAGCGCCCACGCTGACACCAGTGCCAGCGCCTTCACCAGCACCGACGGCAGCACCGACGTCAGCACCAGCGTCAGCCCTCCAGCAGCTCCGACGCCAGCACCGACGCCAGCCCCAACGCCAGCTCCTACACCTCGCTCGATGCTTAAGAAAACGCAGTTTTGCAGCCAGAGTCTCGAAACTTCTTGTCCTAGACGCGCGGCTTAAGAAACCACCGTCGCAAGCCAGGCCCTGGGGACATCTCTTGAACTTGATGTTGGCCTGGGGTCGTGTGGGCGCCCACTTGGGCCCCACTTGGATTTGGCTCGGGCCCCACTTGGGCCCCACTTGGATGCGGCTCGGGCCCCACTTGGATTTGGCTCGGGCCCCACTTGGGCCCCACTTGGATTCGGCTCGGGCCCCACTTGGGTTGGGCTCGGGCCCCACTTGGGCCCCACTTGGATTCGGCTGGGCCCCACTTGGATTTGGCTCGGGCCCCACTTGCGCCCCACTTGGATTCGGCCGGGCCCCACTTGGGTTGGGCTCGGGCCCCACTTGGATTCGGCTGGGCCCCACTTGGGTTGGGCTCGGGCCCGACTTGGATTCGGCTGGGCCCCACTTGGATTTGGCTCGGGCTCCACTTGGGCCCAACTTGGATTCGGCTCGGGCCCCACTTGCGCCCCACTTGGATTCGGCTTGGGCTCGGGCCCCACTTGGACCTCACTTGGATTCGGCTGGGCCCCACTTGGGTTGAGCTCGGGCCCCACTTGGATTCGGCTCGGGCCCCACTTGGGCCCCACTTGGATTTGGCTCGGGCCCCACTTAGGCCCTCCTTGGATTCGGCTGGGCCCCAGTTGGGTTTTGCTCGGGCCCCACTTGCGCCCCACTTGGATTCGGCTTAGTGCTCGGGCCCCACTTGCGCCCCACTTGGATTTGGCTCGGGCCCCACTTGGGTTTGGCTCTGGCCCCACTTGGGCCCCACTCGGATTCGGCTTTGCCCCACTTGGGTTGGGCTCGGGCCCCACTTGGGCCCAACTTGGATTCGGCTGGGCCCCACTTGGATTTGGCTCGGGCCCCACTTGGGCCCAACTTGGATTCGGCTCGGGCCCCACTTGCGCCCCACTTGGATTCGGCTGGGCCCCACTTGGATTTGGCTCGGGCCCCACTTGGGCCCAACTTGGATTCGGCTGGGCCCCACTTGGGTTGGGCTCGGGCCCCACTTGCGCCCCACTTGGATTCGGCTTGGGTTCGGGCCCCACTTGGGTCCCTCTTGGATTCGGCTCGGGCCCCACTTG